TAGCTCGACTATTCGAAGAATATGAGAGCTATTGTAGTCGCCCCGGTGTCGGCGTCTGCGTTGGTTAAAGTTTTTTGTAAAGTCAAATATCTCAATTATTGCTTGAGATATTCAATTGAAACTTACAATACTTATTTATAGTAACAATGTACATCAGATTGACAAGTTGGATAACTCTGCCTACAATATTGAGAGAATTATGCCCATTTTTAACTTAGAAATTTTGGTTAAAGTTTTTTGTAAAGTCAAATATCTCAATTATTGCTTGAGATATTCAATGGAAACTTACAATACTTATTTATAGTAACAATGTGCATCAGATTGACAAGTTGCATAACTCTGCCTGCAATATTTGCAGAATTATTTGCCCCTTTGAAACTTAGAGAAATTTTGGTTAAAGGTTAAAGGTCTTCAAAGAAACTTTACACATATACCAAGGGTCATAATTGAAGGTCACATCTCAAGATTCATTACTCTACCATGTATTTTGACTGAATTATGCTCCCTTTTGTACTGAAAAAAATCTCCCTTTCTTGGTTAAGTTTAACATGCAAGTTTTGCATATCTCTAAAACTATTAAAGATACAAACTTGAAACTTCATATGTATATTTGTGGTCATAAATAATGATCACTGAACAGCACTCACATCTGTGTCATGAATTTAGGCTGATTTATCTCCCCCTTTTTTACTTAGTCTCTTGGTTAATGTTTACATGTAAGTTTTACATATCTCAATAACTATCAGAGATTTTGATTTGAAACTTCACATATGCATGAAGGGTCATAATTGTATGTCACTGACCAAGTTCCATAACTCCAGCTTGCATTTAGGCTGATTTATCTCCCGTTTTCTACTTACTCTCTTGGTTAATGTTTACATGCAAGGTTTACATTTCTCAATAACTATTAAAGATATTTATTTAAAACTTCACATAAGCATTTAGGGTCATAATTGTAGGTCACTGACCAAGATCCACAATTCTATCTTGCATTTAGGCTGATTTTCCTCCCTTTTTCAACTTAGAAATTCATGGTAAAGTTTTGCTTGTAAGTTGTTATCTCCATAACTACTGAAGGGGTTGTGCCTTTTTTGGGACAATTTTATGCATTCATAACAATAAAGCAGTGATTTACTTGATAAAACATCTTAATAACAAGCCTTTGTACCTTTTCGGTCAATTTTATGTATTCATAGGTAATTAGCATTATTATACTCAATAAAACACCCTTTTGACAACTTTTTCGAATAGTCGAGCCTTACTGTCCTGCGACAGTTCTTGTTAAATCAAAGGTCACTAGGACCTTTAAACAAAACATAAAATTAAATCAATTAAAGTGCATAGACAAACTGTCGCTCCACTTCAAAATTGTGGTGTACGATAAAACGAGCGTAAGGCATTTCCGAGGTAGAGCGGAAGGCTGCTTTAAACAGCTTATTGTAAGTTTTGTTTATGTTTTTATCTTGTAATTCATTTAAGTTGTATTTTATCAAAAAATCGATCAATGTAGTTCCGTGTAGGATTGTTTTAGGCTTCCAATGATCTAAGCTGTTTCAAAATGAAAATTATGTTAAGCCCGGGAGAACTTTCCCCCCTGAAACGCTCTACACTACGAATTTCTTGAAAAAGTGTTGTAGAAAAATATCAACCTGTAACAAGAGTTAGTCTTTTGTGCAAAATAAACTACTCTTGGTGGATTTCTTAAATTTGTATATGAATTTTTTTTCGAAAGTAGTGGAGCTAAAGGGCAAGAGATGGAGCGAAAGGTCTGTTGTTGGGCGCAAGGCGGTATTAAGTTGGTGTAAAGAGCGTAGTCTATGAATTTCCATTAATAAAATCTTTCAAAGTTAAAATAAAAGTACTAAAATGTGAAGCTGGAGAAAAATGACAATATATTATTTTATTTCTACTATAACTACTGTAGGTCTATCAATTATTGAAAATTTTAGTCCGTACACCGACTGAGCACTGCATTTTTATTTTGTTCGTTTTGTTCATTGATACTCTGTGAATAAACAAACAAAAAATCACATATATCTTTTTTAACTTAATTTTTTCTTAAACCAAGATTTGTGCTGACAATATGCAGTGTTTGATTTTAAAGGTAAACAGTTCTATTTACACTTTGAGATGGAAATAATAAACTAAACAACAATGCTAAAGAAGATAGGTAGTATCTTGAAACATAACTGAAGCACGTGTTATATCCTTAGAACGGCTGTCACTTTGTCAACCATTTTCATAGAGATTCTCCAGCTCACAAAAGTCTTTCATTTTCATGAAAACGTGGCTTATTTGTGTTTGATCTGAACATGTACGTTAGAGCTATTTATTACAGAAAATCGTAGTAAAATGTACTCGGCAGTAGTGATCCATTTTATGTGCCCCGTGCATTATTTTGTCTCTGTTCTGCACCTTGAATATCTAACGTTTCGACAAACATAACATTTTGGCGTAAACAATCGCGTTACACGTACCTGCTCAGAAACATTTGTTCGCGGTAGAACTGAAAATATTCGAGTTTGTCGAATTTGCACGGACACACGTTTTTAAACGTACATAACCTTGTCAAAAATCATGATTGACCTCGAATAATTAAGTGGTATCCTGTATTAGCCATGCATATGATTCAATGACCGGACCTCGTCCAAATTTGGAACATAAATAATGGAATCCAAGTGACACCTTCGCGATTACAGTTATTATGCTATAGTCGTTGAAAGGATATCACGCTTTATTAGTTGTCTTTAAGGTAGTACACCCCTAATGCACTGTCTCCACTTTGAAGAGTATTCAAATAGGCTAAAATCACTGTAAAGTGTATTGAAACTGAGGGGGCGTGGGTTCAAACCCCAGAAGGGGCAATTTTTTTTCTTTCTTTTTTTTCTTTTTAACATTTTTTATTAATCTCTCAGACCCCCTATGGAAGAAAAAAGTGTTTTATTTTAATTATATAATTATTGTAGGTATTTATTTTCTAAATAATACCAAATTTAATAGCAAATATGATATCAGATATTTTCAAAGTTTAATAAAATAAAAACTAAACGGTAAAAGTATTTTATATTTTGCAAGACCAACCAATATACATGAAGGAAAATTTAGGCAAAGTTTGAAAATAGCCCCTCATTTTGGAAAATTTTAGGGATATATTAAATAAGGCTTTTTACATAGGGAAATGGTCAAATTAGTGTTAAAAGTGGGTGGGGTAGGGTTACATTTTTATACATATTAAAAACATTTCGTTTAAAAACAATCATTTTGCTTGTTTAATTTGTTACCTAAATGTCATTTTTTATTTCTTAACAATGAGCAAAAGGAAAACATTTTTCATAATGATGATATTATAGATTATTTAGAGTTTCCTCATTTCTGAAAAAAACCCTTCTAACGGCAAAGTTTTAGTTCATAAAAATGTCCATAACTCATAAACCACACGGTAAATTTTGTTTAGATTTTGCATACAGGTGACATTTAAGGCATATAACTGTCCTATGTTGTCAAATTTACAATTCCTTATAGTGCCCATTAGGGGTGTACTACCTTAAAAGGTATATATCTCTCGGTCTCAACACTTGATCATGTCTATTTTAACTTCTATAGCTTTCATGTATAAAAATTCATAGACTACGCTCCTCCTAATACGCCAAATTAATATCGCCTTGCGCTCAACATCTTACCTTTCGCCCCGTCTCCTGCGCTTTGGTTCCACCGCAGGCGCTAGTCACATAATCAAATATTTTACATAACCGGTTTATAAATGTATATTAAGATATAAGGTCTCCAACAGAACAAAAACATCATGCTGAACAAACATATCTTATTATAGTATATAGCCCATATAAAACTTAAATAAGTTTGTTTGAAGCACCTGTGGGCTCCACTATTTTCGAAAAATATCGATTTACAAATTTAAGAAACCTTTCAGCGTAATTTATGTTGCACGAAGGACAAGTTCTTGTTACGGGTTGATATTTTTCTAATACACTTTTTAAAATGATGCGAAGGGTATGGCATTTTAATGATTGGGAAGTTAAATATTCTACAAATCGTCGTTCACTTCGTCGTTGAAAAAGTTCTCCCGAGTTTAATATAATGACATGTAACTTTTTTTTTGTATTACAGCTTAGATCATTGGAAGCCCAAAACAATCCTACACGGAACTACATTTTCCGTTGTTAGAAAAAAATACAACTTAAATGAAAAACAAGACAAAAACATAAACAAAATTTACAATTAGCTGTTTAAATCAGCCTTCCGCTCTATCTCGGAAATGCCTTTCGCTCGTTTTACCGTGCACCACAATTTTGAAGTGGAGCGACAGTTTGCTGGGCGTGATATAGTAAAAAATTTAATAATCTACTCTGAACCTGCAAATGCTAGGGCTGATATTTGGCATGAATCATTGTCTAACATGTCTCTATTAAGTTCAAATTGCAGTACAGGAGTAGAACTCGGTCCTGCTCTCAAGGTGAGTCATGGGTTTCCATAGCAACCACTGGCTTCCGTAAAAACCACTGGCTTTTTATATGAACCAGTTTTCCATAGCAGCCATTGACTTCTATAGCAGCAATTGACTTTCCGGAGTAAATAATACTTCTCCTCGCAACCAGTGTTTTTTAATAGGACCTACTGACTTTATAGTAATCAGAGACTCTGGATAGAAACCAGCAGCAATTATTTACATGTACCATTACAATCAGTGCCATTTTTCCATGTACACTGTTTTAGACGCAGAGAATTGAGTACCGCTCAAGCCGGTGCTAGGGGGCGTGAGGGATGTTGCATGTATTCATTATCCTTCATGTACAGACTCAATCAAACGGATTCTGCAATTCTCTTGTACTTTTGTTGTGATTAATGCTTCCGATCGAGTGATCACTTAATGTCCAAATTTTTAACAATGGACCTAGAATTTAACATCGCACCTGTTTGTTTATTTATCTGGTCATTGTTAGTGGGTCAATATATTCTGCTACATAAGTTTCTCGTGGGTTTAGAGAAAACAGTACACAAGCATCGGATTGTATCATTTTATTTATAATCAACATCCAAGTTCTTTTTTCAACAAACTACATACATTGGCATCTTTTAACAATCGTGGCTGGTACAAACTGTATGCGTGGTTTTCTAAAATTAGATAGAATTATATAAGTGTAAGCAGGTTTACTTAATACAAAATGTACATGTATTGATATCTTTTATTTACCTTGAAGATGAAGAAAAACAGTTTTGTTAATCTCCAAAAAAAAAGACTTTCATTACTTTTGTGACAGATTGCAGGGTCTCTAGAAATACAATACAATTTCACTAATCCAGATAAACTCATTTGTTTAACATTTTCCTGTACCCGTATACATTTATCTCGCCTTTTGTTATATGTGCAATATGAAACATAGGGAATAAAATATGAATCAGATCGTGATTATGAATCTATTCTATTAAACACTACATATATAAATTAACACCTTGGCACACTGTCAAAAATGGTACAGTACCTGGTTTATAATAGTCGGAGAGTTTTACAACAGCTGGTTGACTACCGACCACAAGTCCTTCTCTCTGCATACTGACTTGAATACATGTTCCTATGTCTCCTGGAATCTAAACAATGAAATGTATAACAAGTCATATATAGTAGTAATAATAAACAGCTTGCACTTTGTATTCTTAAACGCCTAATACTTTTTACTCAGAGTGTAGGTCTTTACGTGAATACTCAATTAGAAACATTGCATAACTTGATGAGATAATTAAATAATATAGACATAAAATATTAAAATTATGGTATATGCTTAAAACACTTTCTGTAAACAATAAATAAAAACGGAACTATTTAGCGGACAAAGTAAGGTTCTCCTTCTTAATTGAATCAAACATTATCTTTAAAATAGAGGCACTCGGCCAAAGTCAAACTGGTTTTCGATACCTATAGAAATTTAAACAAGGCTTGTATAATATAAAAGTCGTAATAATTTCTGGTAGCTAAGAACATTTTTGCAACTATATGGTTGCAATATTGGTAAATTATTATTTAAAGAGTTACATATGAAATATTGCAAATAGAAATAAATGGATAGTATAAAACAAAAACCAACGCTTATAACAATGTATAAACGCATTATCTTTAATGTAAAAAAACTACGCTGAAACACTGTAAAGAAGTGTTAACGGGCGTTGGTTTTGTTTTTGGTGTGGTTTTCGGTATTTTCGTGTGAATGAGTATAAACTTACAGGATCGTGAACGTTATTGGTTGTGTCGTTACTTTGAACAAAAATTATAACTTTAAAATAAAGTCTGTAAGTACTTATGTATTATATAATGTGTCCTAGAAAATGTAATGAGATCTAAGTGTAGTATAAAATGTTTAAAATATAAGGTTATACTAAGCAATTTAACTAGAAAGTGAAAGAACTATCCTGTATATCTTATTTCAAAACTATGTAACCTTGACATTTTATTTTATATAGGCTGGAATTATCCATTACATTTCAATGTAAGGTTATACTAAGCAATTTAACTAGAAAGTATAGAACTATCCTGTATGTCTTATTTCAGAACTATGTAACCTTGACATTTTATTTTATAATGGCTAGAATTATCCATTACATTTTATTTTATAGAACTATCCATCCTTAAAATTTTATTTAAGGAGAGCAAGGACCATCCTTAACATTTTATGCTAGAATGACCAATGAGATTCCCAGATTTCTGTTTGTAATTTTAAAACGACCGGTGGAAGTTTGTACCAATAGATATAATATATTTTCTGAAATTAGAATTTGATATGTACTTCATCAAAGTAAATGATAAGTTTCTTTTCTCCTTCTTCTACACGTTTCATGATTCCGACGTGTGTAATACTGAATGTGTCAGCTCCAAATCCTGAGAGAAGCCCTATCTCCATAATTGCCATACCACTCTTACCATCACCGAGCCAACTGTAATTTACAAAAAGGAATAATCTATCCGTTCAGGTCCACTTTACAGCTGTATACTAACATTTTAAATTTTTCAAATGAACCATTTGAATGCTAGCTTCGGTAACATTTTGCTTACTTAACTGCCAGCCACTGCTAAGGACTGGTTACAAGTATTTCCAGGAGCGGACGACCTTTGAACATTTTAGAACATGCATATATGAGTTGTTGTCCTTTCAGTTCATTATAATGATTAGCCATAAACATTACTGAATGCGTCAAAATCATTTAATACATGGCAAACGTTTTGTCTGATCAAACACCGAAGGTCATTTAGGAAAACAAGAACAATTCCAAATATACGAGTATTTGACACCATCAGCATGACACATAGAAAATGTATGAACAAATAAATATATGACCTGAAGCAGGCCTGTAGTGTAAAGCCAGACATTGTTTCGTCACTGGTTGATAGTAAAAGTGAGAATAACGGTTTCACGACATCTGCCATTACATTATAGTTTACAGCTATCTGAAATAAGTATATGTAGTACATGTACAAACTCTTGAAACAAATGTATGTATTGTGATTTGGATAAATTATTTACAATATTTCAAAACGAAAAAACTTATTATTCAGATTGCATATCTGAATCACGTAATTTAATATAATACGAGGCAAATAAGTTAAACGACGGGTAAGATTTTTACATTGCCAGTATGGAGAGTAAATATCCAAAGTGTTTTATATTTAAAAAATCTTTTCTGATTATCAATTAGCTTTTATTTAACATTTAAGCGGCATAATCTTCAGATATACCAGTTACTGAATTCAAACAATCCAGTCATGATACGACACAGGAGAGATATGTTTAGATGATACCACACAGGAGAGATATGTTTAGAAAGATACCAACCTCTACAAGAGCCAATCCATTACCTTCGGCTCGTATGTCAACTATTTCTGTTGGAGGTGGAACCTGAAATATAAACATAATGGTAAAATTTCTCGGCCAGCTGATTGATGTATTTCAACCAAGGAATTACGAGTTCGAGCCCCTCTGGGGTTACAACAATGTATAAATTTACGTATTATATCAGAAAGAAAAGTGTACGCCAATCTTCGGGTAAGGACTATTATAGGTAATCAATTAGGAGGACTGGTCCAAATGGTAACTATATTTAATAAAGTTTCAAAAAGGGGAGATGAAATAAAATCATTTATGTTTAAGCTAAAATGTAACAAGCGATATTAGTGTTTGTGTTACCTTTTAAATATTTCATATTTTTGAAAAAATAAATAACATAGAGCAGATAAAGTCTGGATTTGCAAATCAATGAGACAGAATCGATACAGTTGTAAGTCTGATATTTTTTTAACGTACAATAATAAATAAAAGAATCATACATCAACTGACTGAAGTAGTAGAGCATTTTGTGACTTGATTTCAAAAATATGCCCAAAGTTTGTCGGTGTTCCTTCTATCTTGATGTTGACATTGAATTTTTTGGAATATATTAGAGCTGCAAATTCTGACAGAGCTTGAAGAGCAATCACCGTATCCTGTTATAGCATAAAGTAATGTTAGTGTTTTGATAGTTAATTGTTGTAATTTACAGGCTTTAAAACATACAAAGATAGTCGTTAAAAATGATAAAGATGAGTTATGTGTGCATCAGTTAATTACAAGATATCTAGTTTAGCAATTATTCTTTTAGTACAGGCGAGTTACGTAAAACATTAAGTAACATTTTCTTGAACACGCTTGCATTAGTAATGCTTTTATCAAATTATATATTTTCTATGTCTCAACATGCAAGTTACTACACAGATGCCATAATTAGGAATTTATTTACACGTTTTCAGATTTGTAACATTTTCAGATTTGCAACACTAAAATTACGTAAGTTAAGCATACGTGTACCCATAAAAGGATGAAAGATAGTTATTGTTTAGAACTTAATCTATCTTGACATTTTTTTATTTCAAATACCTGTGTCGATCCGAATCCACCAGTTGGATTACGTTGGTTTACCAACCATTTGATTACTGGAATACCTTCAGTTACTTTCGCGGTAGTAGCGTATGCCAACAAAACGTAAGCTGTCGTTTCTATATTACGAGACCTGGCCTGAGAATGTGGTGGTATCCATCTTAAATTACTGGTGTCAGGCTCCTCCTCTACCTCCCAGTACTTCATGCCACCTGAATTAAAATGAGAATTAAAATTATTAAAGGTAAAGACATTGCAAACATAAATGTCAATAACAAGTATACAATATCAAAATATCGAAAAGCCATTGATGCAAAAAATATTTTAAAAAAACAAACTGTACACAACTAATTCTAGTGCATTTTTTTATCATATACTAGTACATGATAAATGGATTCAAAGCCTTATAGAAATGCTTATATATCACATTTCTTTGCAAACAAAGATTATATTTGAAACGTGATGCAGAAGTATGTTTTATGACATATTTAACAACTCTTAAAAAATAATTACTAGTATACCGTTACCTGATACCGTTGCCTTGGAATCAAGTTTGGCGAGGACAGCATTAAGTTTAGAACTTTTGATCAAAGCTAAAGCGTAGCTAGCAATGGCTAGCTCATATACATCATCCATGCCTGGTACTTTATCCTCTAATGCATTTTTTACACCAGTAACAGTGGATGACAATTTGGCCGGAACACTACTAGAAAACTGAATACATGTATCACTTTATTGTAAGAATTAATGGGAAGAAGAAATAAGAAAATTATACTGATGGTGAAACAAGAGCTCGAATAAAATATTAAGATACTTGTTATTTGGATACAAAATTTTTTATCACGCATACAAAGACCGCCTCCGTGGTCGAGGGGTTAGAGTCGATGACTTCTAATCCCAGTTACCTCTCTGGCGTCGGTTCGATCCCCGGGAGATGCTTTGGTAGTTTAGCACGGAGGAAGGGAGTCTAGTACTGGTGTAACTCTCCAGGAACGATGGTTAGGAAACTACCCGCCTATATGACTGAAATACTGTTGGAAAAAGGCGTAAAATGGAACAAACAAACAAACAAACAAATCACGCATACAATAAGATGCACACTAGACTTATCATTGCTTTAATTCCATGCAAAATCACTAGGCTTTTTAGGTTTGGCACACCTTACATTATCATTTGGAATGCACAGACTATATTGTTATCATCAGTTCCAAGGACTTTGTGATGAGAAACCATACGTAATTTATTTTACGCATGGTGAGAAACCATATGTAATTTATTTTACGCATGGTAAGATCATGAATCTGATATTTTTATTTTTCATTTTCCATATACGCTGTAAAAAAAGTCTTGTTAATATAAAATGTAATATATCACAATCATGAATATAAAACGTTAAATAACTTTTATTTGGACAAAAGACTAATACATCTTTATGTCTTGAACAGAAAATTGGTATTCTTTTATTACTAGGGCAAAAATAGTCTTATAGGTATGTAGCTTTTTCTTTATCAAGAATAACAATGTTGAAATACCTTTGCTTCTTGTGCCTCTAACAAAGCTATTAGTGTATATATTGCTAGGTTAAGATCTCCTTTCGCTGATCCACCCTGTAAACAACGAAACAATCTGACCTTCATGACAATATATCTTTTCCTTATGAGTTAAGTTTTTTTTCCAAAATCTTGGCGCTATTATTGTATTGAAATACCGTCAGACAGTATATATCATAATATCATAAATATATGATCAAAATACTGAAAAAGATAATTATTCTATCAATTTTCATGCAAAAATGTACTTAGCATAAAGATATGCTCATTTTCATTTCTGTTACATTTGTGAAATTAGCGCCGTTCATTAAAAGGGATAGGTGGAGTAGGTACAATTTTCAAATAACTCGCAAATAAAAAGAATCGATTTTCAGTCAAATTTTAGCTTTTACTAGAAATGAGTAAATATCTACTTTACAAGTACATGCAAAAAGGAATAAAATCAAAATACAAAACAAATCTTATATTGACCATTGTGTCCGCTCTTACAGAATGAAATTAGATCTAACTTAGAATAGTTGTACAGAGCTAGGATGACTTAATAAAAGGAAATGAGTATGCCGTCTCACAATATACACATACTATAACATACATTGCTTATGTTCTTTGTAGAAACTGCACTTATAACAACAAACCATCGTTATTGTACTATCTATATAGCGTCTTATAATTTCATATATCGTACAGAAGATCTTTGATCATATTTAATAATTCTTGCTAGTTCCCTTTATTACAAATCATGTGTCTTTTAGAAATTTGTTCTTTACTGCGTACGTGCTATATAAATAATATTGTTATCATACAACTGGTTATCTGTACACTTCTCGTTCTTAATGTCAGACAAATACAATGTTTAACATTTTTTATAAATTTAACATTTTACTAAACCTGCATTTCAGTGTGTATGACTTTTCCAGGTTCATTGAATGTTCCCGTTGAAGATTTATATTGAGCCAGTATCCAATCGATTGCTCTTTTGACAGTATTACCATCAATGAAAATGTACGATTTTGCTTGTGAAAATGATTTTATTACAAAAGCTGTAAGCCAAGTACTCCCCGATGGATCACTGTTGCCAAAAGCACTAAAGGATCCATCAAAATGTTGATACGATAATTCCTTTTGGTATCCTTTAAATAATATCAAAAATAAAGTTATTGTTTTATAACTATCATAAATTATAACTGAAAATGCTACATTCCGATTACGCACTAACTTATTTATAAATACAAATTTTGGGTAACCACCTGCCCAGTGTTTTTCGTTTTAAACAAAACAATATTCTTGTTTTGAAATTGATTTCCCCTCAGAAAAAACAGTATAAAAAACAGGGTGAGCTTATTATTGCTTTTATTTACATTTCTTTGGAATGAAGGAAGACGCAATTGCCTTAAATATTCATAATTATAGTGAAATATAGAGTAAATTATTGGTAAATGATAAAATGCGCTTGACTCGAAAGAAGGACACACGTTTTGAAAATGTTAAATGCACGGTACGACAGCGACGCTTAACAATAGTGTTATATAACTTATTTTTGACCGTGTGAATCAATATCTCCTATATATGATTTTAACAAAATTTGTTGCAAAATTATCGCTTACCAACAAGCATAAATGATTTGGCTTTACTTTCGTCTTCTGGTTTCAGATTATTTGTTGCAGTCAGGTATTTAATGACAAATATGTTTGGAACAAAATTGATCATATTCTGTTCTCCGCACCCGTACGGCATCCTCAACAAATTAGAAATTCCAGATATAGACGGTCCCATCAGATCACCTTTAAAATAAATATCAGCAATAATTCATATGAGTCTTGCCAGTCTGATCAGGATCCGTGCTGTTCGCTGTCAGTTTCTTTACTTATAATAGGGTTTGTAAGCAACAGCATGGATCCTCATCAGACTGCGCGGATGTGCAGGCTGGTCTGGATCCATGCTGGTCGCAAACGCACTATGTTGGTTTTGTCATGGCGCGGCTCATATACACATTTGTTTTTAACTTTACGTGATTTCATTCTAAAGATCGAAGAAATAAGATAGATTGTCATATCTGTACACGGAGAATGGTAATTGAAATGACTTTTCCAGATATTTAAGTAGTAAGAATTTATCATTCCTGGTCACATCAAAGCATATTTAATCTTTTAGACAAAAGAAGGGGTATATTATGTTAAATATGTTCAGCATTTGTAATGTATATATTTCAATTGACATAAAATAGTGGAATGAACTAACTATAAGAGTATGTGACACTTTTATCATTATAAACTCTTTCACTTTGATTACATACATTTCATCATTACAACATTAGGCGACGGAGGTGTTTCTCTTATTAATAGGCATAATCGTACCTAGTGAGCAATTTTCACCTATTTCTATTTCATATAACTGCCCTTTATGGATAGGTCCGACTTAATGCATGTTTACTGTTTAATAAATTTTTATAATTACCGATTGCAGAAGCTCTGATATGTACGGAATCATCAACGACGTCATCTGGTAATGTAATCAGTATTCTTTTGTTGAATGATTTGGCATTTTGTAAGTCAATCAGAACTGGTATGTTATAACTTTCAGATATACCTTCAGGCTGAAAAATTTGATAATATTATATTCTATCATATTTGTGTTAAAATACAATAATTCAAACTATCTTCCTCTGCTTATTGACACGCTTATATGACGGCAACATATACTTCATTCTAGTTTTAATTTAGAAAATATCAACAACAAAATCCATCTTTTTGTGACAATTTTATATACAACATAATCAATTGCTCATTTTTTTCGAACTCGTCTCAGTTGAATTTTCGAACTCGTCTTAGTTGAATTCCGGATTTTAATTTAATGGAACTGAAATTGAGCTGTTTAATGTTTGAGTTGTCTTAAAGCAACATAAGCAAATCTGCTAGTAATATGTACCTATTTATACACAATTATGTTAGATGCACATTAATTACTTGTTAAACATGTTTTAAATCACCAAATTAACTGTATTTCAGAATTATTCCGTAATATGAACAAATATTCATAATAAAGAACAAAACACGGGCGTTTTTACCATGACAACGGTTTTAATATAATAAACGCCGTGCTATGTCCATGCATAATTTCATTCGATTATTTGATTGGTTTGTTTAACTGGGATTTATGTCACACCGACACACTATAAGTCATATGGCGACGTTCCAGCTTTATAGGTAGGGGAAGACGTCAGGTGCCCTTCCGTGCATTATTTCAGGCACGAGCGGGTACCTGAGTTTCATTCGATAAAAATTTAAACAATATACAGATATATACATGCCTCCACAAGCAATTGTTTTCTAACAGCATCACCTGCGACCTTTGAAACGGCACTCACTTCAATGTCTATGTTTCCAACTTCAACGGCCATTATTGGAAAGTTTAAAGTTGTCCCTCCGCCGGGAGCTACCTAAATGTAACATTGTGATGAGTATAACCTGCTTCATAATTCAAAGAAGTTTTCTTTTAGAACATTTCAGTTAAATACAAGTAATAATATAACATAACACAATACATTATTATCGTATTTGTAAGAAGGGAAATATCTATACATGTATACATAATTAGTCGCCGTTGGCAATTTGGTATTATTCATGTAATTACCTGATTTATATTAAAAACATTGTCTAAAAATTGCTTACACGCTTTCCTTTTTATAAGCAAATGTATTTTATCAAGTATACATTAATACACCTTTTATGCTTTTAAATTTTGATGAAATATGGCATTGTAAGTTACGTGATTGTTTGTAAGGATTACCTGAATTCTTCGTTTAATCTCTACTTGTTTGAACACCAGGGTCGATGAGCCTGAAGACTTTTTAACTATGATGTTTTTGAAAGACGATGATTTCTTCAATACGACATCAACCTGTAAAGAATTTCATAGATTTTAGATACAAAATAGTGTAAGAATCGGGTGTTTGTTAGGGGGAAGTCTAGAAACTGATCTACATTATCTGAGTAATATCAAATTTAAAGGTAATTAATGATTTACAATACAATTTGCATGAAACAAGTGATGTTTAAGATGGTTAAAAAAAACGACAAAGATTTGCTATTATTACCGTAAGTGTCTTTGTAAAGAAAATTAAAGATGTTTGCTTGTAGTTATAATCCTGTTCCCCCACGAATCACAGAGTACGGTAGTTCTAGACGGATGAAAAACTGCAGAAATACTTCAAGCTGAAAGCAAAAGCGTCTTTTTAGAAATGAAATGAAAGTAATGTAGTTATGATTCACATATTTGTATCATACACCTTCTTGACGGGTAGATTGATTTCTTCTAGACACAAATATTTTGTCTTCCAAGAAAATAGATTGATTTCTTCTTCTGTTCAGAAAGTTTTATTTCCTCTTGCAATATTTATATCTACAAGATAGATTTTATTTTTTTCTAGACATAAATAATTCAAAACCTTTAGAGAACAATGTCTCGAGTATAAATTTTCTTTACAACTGATAACTGCCTCTCGGGTTATAGATGTAAATCTGTACGACTTACTTATTCATCTTTCTAAACAGGATGCACCCATTCGGTTGGGGAGATTTGGAATTGTAGAATGAGAATAAGGTGATCAACATATGTTAATAGCCGCGGATTAAAAATGCTAGACCTGTGTAAAGCGACATTTTACGAATTGGTAACGAACGTTTTGTTAAAACACGGACGCGAACATATTTTTTAAATGTAATGATGTAGCGTTATTGTCCTTTTTTTGTTAAAAGATAACAGATCTTGCTTTTCAAAACATTAATCGAGCCATTACCATTATCATGTTAATATAAATGGGAAACAAGCCGTAATTCATTCAAAAAGCAAAACGTAATCAGAAAATTATAAATGGGCCAGTCTAAAGCGGGTATAAGTTGAAACCTTAATGTATTCAATGATGCTATTTTTAACGACTCATTGGACATTAGACACAGCAATTACGCAATTTTAACAGCAATAATAGAAACGACAAGTCCATTGTTTAAGAATGGTTTTCAGGGAAATTCAATAATCTGTCTTAATACGTTATAATTTTTCTCAATGGTTTTACTCGGTGTGTTTAAAATAGAGAAAATAAATAAGAATCCCGAAAGAAAGTCCAAAACGGCAATATTGAAAATGTTGCAGGCTCGGTTTGATTGAGCTTGCTCATGGACGATACTGTCAAACGCAAACAAACTGTCAACGCCCGCCAACTGATTAGCCTGACAAAATTTTTGGGATAATACATCCCAAAAACGCATTGTGGACATTTTGTAATATTATACATATTATTACTTGTAAGCAACGAAAAGGGAAATTTTAAAAGTTATCTCTTCTTCTGGCAATGAATTCTTTAAAAATGCGGGGAAAATTACGCAATTTGGCATTTAAAATTACCAAACCGCCTATTAAATATTCGGGTAACAGTAAATTTTTTTTCTTTGTTTTCCCTTTACTCTTAAAATTTTAATAAAGGGTGGGGGAAACAAAAATTTTGGGCCTGGGAATTAATTTTATTTAAGTTAAATTCCCAAAACCCAAAAGTTATGTTAAATAACCCCTTGTTTTTTTGTTTCAAAAAGAAATTAAAAAAATATTTTTTGCACAGAAAGAAAAAAAATTAATTATTGAAACAGAAAAATAATTTTAAATATTTGAAAATTTTAAATTTAAAATACTTTCCCAAAAATTTAAATTTTAAAAACTTTTTAAAAAAGGAATTTTAAATTAAAAAATATAACCCGGGGTTACATTTTTTACAAGGGTTGGGGGAAAATTTGGGACGGAAATTTTTTAATATCGTTGGGATAAGGGGGAAAAAAAATAATTTTTTTAAAACCCCAAATTTTTTTTTTTGGTGTAACTATTTTTCCCTTTAACTTAGTTTGTTAAAAGAAAGGGTTGGGGGTTTTTGGAAACAATTAGCATTAAAAATTATTTTCCCAAATTTTCTTTTTAAAGACTTGGAACCCAAATAAAAAATTTAAAAAAAGGGGGGAAATAAAAGGTGTTTATGAAAAAAAAAGTTAAAAGAGGGTTTTTCAATTTGTTTTAGTTTCCCAAATTTTAAAAAGATTAAATTTTTTGAAACCCTATTTTCAAGGGATTGGAGCCAAAGCCAATCCTTTTTTTCGGTTTTAACACAAAAGCACTTTCAAAAATTTTAGGGTTTAAAAAGGGGGTTGGGGAAAATGGTTTTTTTTTGAATGGATCCTTTTGAAAGCCCCAAAAAACTATTAAAAAAAATGTCCAAAGATAAAAACCTTTCCTTAAATTTATTAAAAAAAGAAAAATTTTTTTTTCAATTTCGGAACTAAAAAACATTAAGGTTAAAGGGGTTTTTTAACAATTTTTTTCCTTTTTCCCCATTTTTTGTTTTTTCCTTAATATTTTTTTTTTGGGTTTTAAAATTTCTGGGGTTTTTTTAAAATGGGGGGGCCCCTTTTAAAATTCCCCGGGGAGAATTGGGGTTTTTTAAAAATTTTTTCCAATTTTAAATTAAAATTTTATTAAACCCCTGAAACCCGTGGGGAAACCCTTTAAATTTTTTTAAAAAAAAAAAAAAAAAAAAAACTTTAAAAATATTCAAGGGTTTAGTTGGCCCCAAAAAGATTTTACAAAATTTTCACGTAAAAGGTTTTTTAATTAAGTAAAAATTTCCCCAAATTATTTGGTTTTACTCAGCTTTAGGAGATTGTACCCCATTTTCTGGAACAGGGTTTACTCTTGGCCTGCCCCCAAATTCCAAAATACTACTTAAATTTTTAGGGGCCAAACCCCCATATTTGGGGGAACATCCATCAATTTTGTTCAGCAACTTTTTTCCCCGACTAAATTAATGAAAAACAAAAAGTATTTATACTCGAAATTTTTTGGGGTTTTTGTTTTGTTTAAGTTTTTAATTTTTTTTAGGGTTATTTTTTTCCCCTTTTAGGTCGTGGGCGATTTTCCAAAATTTAAAAATGGGATAAAGGGGCGTTCTTGGCCTTTAAAGGGCACGGGAAAGGGACCTTAGTTTTCACCCAGTTTTCGAAGCTTTGGCTGGTTACTTTCCCCAAAGTAAAAGAGTCCCAAAGGGCCTGTTTGGTATTTTGGAAAAAACCCCAAAAATGGGGGGAGCAACGTTTTTTTGTTAAAGGGATTCCCTCGGCCACGGGCCTTTTCCAAAATTTACAAAATTTTAATTTTATGTTTGGATATTAAAAATTTAAAAGGAATTTTTCTAAAAGATTGGGTTTAAAAAAGAAAATAATATGTTTTTAACGAAGAATGACATTAAAAATTTGGTTTGTAAAGTAAATTATGTGATAAACATTAGTGACATTTTTTTAATGTAGTTTTTATGGACAAAAAAATACAAAAAAAAAAATAAAAGGGAAGTTTTTTTTCCCGTAAAGTATTTAAAATGAATAAAGAAAAGTCGCAATGCGGCGAAAACTAGGGTTTTTCCAACGGGGCAAGTGATTTTTGGAAAGGGGGTTTGGGAAAAAAGGAGTAAGTAAAAATGTGCTGTTTTTCTAACCCAAATTTCAATTTGGTTTTAAAAAGAAAAAAAACCCGATAAATTTAGTTTGCACCCCCGGCCCGTATCTATGTACTCGGGGAGTTATTTGTAGAATGAAAAATTTTTATGAAAAGAAGAGAAAAGAAACAAGAGGTTATCTGATTTGTCGAGGGGGGTGCCCCAGTATTAAACGAATTCCGAGTGTTTTGGGGGTTCTTTTCCTTTGTATCTAGTCAAACATAAAAACCGCGTTCCCTGTTGTCACAAATAAAAAGGGAAAAAATTTAAAAAAAAAACCCAAAAAGAAAAGAAATTTGATAGGTATTTCTTTTTCGTTTTTCCCCTTTTTGGACAAATTTTTATTTTAAACCCCCGCAAAAATTGCCAATAAAAGGGAAAAGGGTCTGGATGCGGGTTTTAGTTAGGAGTGGGAGGGAAATAATCCCAAACCAGTTAACACACCCGTTTCATGTAAATGGGATATGTAATTTCTAAACTGAATTTTTAAAGAAAGGTTTCCTATAATTAAATTTTCTATTGTAGCAAGTTCCTTTTCTTTGCTTTCTTTTTTTTCTAGTTTGCAAACCCAAAAATTAAAATTTTTAAAATTAAAATTAAACCCCCAACAAGTTTTGGGTCAATTGGTCCTTTAATTTAAAAAATGTTTGTTTTTAACTCACCAATGGCCCTCACAAATTTTTCCCGAAAACCGTGGGGATCCAAAATTGCGGTCTTGAATTTAAAACCCATATAAATTTTGGGGGGTCAATAGGTTTCAGAAACGTGAAGTTTTTTTAGACAGGGGGAAAATTGGGGAAATGAAATAAAAGAAATTTGTAGGGATTGGGGTTTGGGTTTTTGGGGTTTAAGGTTTCAAACCCCCCAAATTCCCCAGCCAAAAGGTCCAGCTTTAAATTTTTGTTTTTTTGTTTGGGAAACCCGGGGAATTTTTGTTTTTGGTTGTAAAATGTTGACCCAATTTCAAAAATCAATGGGGTATTAATCCCAAGTATAGGGTTTATAAAAAAAAGGGTAAATACTTTAAAAGGTTTGGTTTGGGTTTTTTCAGGTTAAAAAAAATCAAGTTTTTTGGGGGGCGGGTGAATTAATTTATTTTTAATTTTTTTTTGTTGAAAGTGACCTTTTTCCTTTAATAAAATTGGGGGAGGGGGAACATTTTTGCTTTCTTGTTTAATTTTAAAAATTTCCCAAAAGGGAAGTTTAGCCGTGGAAACCCCCCAAACAAACTGCAATTTTGAGTTTATTTTAAAAAAATTTTAAAACCTTGAAACCCTTGGAAATTTAAAAGGAAAATTTGGTAAAAATTTCGGGGTGGGTTTTTGATTAATTAAGCTAAACAAAAACCCCCGTTTGGTTGGGGCAATTGGGTTTGCCCTTTAAGAAAATTTTGAAAAGGCCCTTTTATTTTTTTGCTACGGCATGACTTTTTATCACCGGCCTCTAGGGAAACAATCCCCCGCTGCCTTGATTAATACCTTTCCCGTTTCCAAAAGGCCCCAAAACCCCTCAAATTTTGGGCGGCCGATTTCTTTTTTTTAAAAAAATGTGACCCTTTACCTTTAAACATTTGGACCATGACAAAAAGTGGTTCCTAGGCCAGCAAACTCAAGTTTTGG